ATACTCCTCTACCTAGGATACGACCGGCGAAATGGCGTTTTAGAAGCTCCAAAACTAAAAACTCATAGGACTTTGGCCACACCCACAAAGCTTTGAGAAGCAATAAGAAGCTTGGTTAGCCTTTTTAAAGTCAAATATGACGAGATCTTGTGTGTATGATTTGGAATAAGAACTAGAACCGCCACCGGATCCCACAAGCTAAAGTAGTGTTTCTTTGTTTAGAAGCTCCAAAACTGAAAACTCATAGGACTTTGGCCATACCCACAAAGCTTTTAGAAGCAATAAGAAGCTTATTTAGCATTTTTAGAGTCAAATATGACAAGATCTCGTGTGTATGATTTTGTATAAGAAATTGAACCGCCACCGGATCCCACAAGCTAAAGTAGTGTTTCTCTGTTTAGAAGCTCCAAAACTAAAAACTCATAGGACTTTGGCCACACCCACAAAGCTTTGAGAACCAATAAGAAGCTTGATTAGCGTTTTTAGAGTCAAATATAACTAGATCTCGTGTGTATGATTTGGTATAAGAACTAGAACCGCAACCGGATCCCAAAAGCTAAAGTAGTCTTTCTCCGTTTAAAACCTCCAAACTGAAAACTCATAGGACTTAGGCGACACTCACAAAGCTTTGAGAAGCAATAAAAAGCTTGGCTAGCATTTTTAGAGTCAAATATGACTAGATCCCGTGTGTATGATTTGGTATAAGAACTAGATCCACAACCGGATCCCAAAAGCTAAAGTAGTGTTTCTCCGTTTAGAAGCTCCAAAACTGAAAACTCATAGGACTTCGGCTACACTCACAAAGCTTTGAGAAACAATAAGAAGCTTTGTTAGCCTTTTTAGAGTCAAATAAGACTAGATCTCGTGTGTATGATTTGGTATAAGAACTAGAACCGCCACCGGATCCCACAAGCTAAAGTAGTGTTTCTTTGTTTAGAAGCTCCAAAACTGAAAACTCATAGGACTTTGGCCACACCCACAAAGCTATGAGAACCAATAAGAAGCTTGGTTAGCGTTTTAGAGTTAAATATGACTAGATCTCGTGTGTATGATTTGGTATAAGAACTAGAACCGCAACCAGATCCCACAAGCTAAAGTAGTGTTTCTTTGTTTAGAAGCTCCAAAACTAAAAACTCATAGGACTTTGGCCACACCCACAAAGCTTTGAGAAGCAATAAGAAGCTTGGTTAGCCTTTTTAGAGTCAAATATGACTATATCTCGTGTGTATGATTTGGTATAAGAACTAGAACCGCCACCGGATCCCATAAGCTAAAGTAGTGTTTCTTTGTTTAGAAGCTCCAAAACTGAAAACTCATAGGACTTTGGCCACACCCACTGTTGGAATTGAAGAGACTAAGCTCATAGGAAAGAGTAAACAATCACTTGGTGATTGGATCTCCTTTTATCCACACAAAGGGAACTCATTCTCAAGAAGAAGAGACCATCAACTTGTGATGGAATCCACACCAATATAGCTTGGTAGAACCAAAACTCTATGGATAGAATCGATTCTAGCAAGACAACTATCTCTAGTCTGAAGCTAGATCCGTGAGAAGTAACACAACACTAAAGGTTTGTGTACTTAGAGAGAAACGAATCTATGAATCATTTAGCTAGAGTAAACAACATAAATAAGAGATAAAGAAG